AACCCCAAGGTGCCTAGAAACACCTTCTTTATAATTATTGTAACAATCGCCGCCAAAATATGTTAGTTGTCAATTGATTGTTTAGTAAACAGTTATACCTAGATGAAACATCGGTAAAAATTGTGGTTTTTAATTAATTTTTTCCTTTACACTTTTTTTATATATTTCGAAAATTTATCATAGATCCTATAGCTGGCGGTAAGTAGAATTGTATAATATACAGAAAGCAACAATTCGGTTATTAGTTTTTTTGTAATATTGTTTGATTACATCATATGTTTAAATTGAGAAAATAATTTATTTTACGATATTTAGATGGGCAAAAAAAATTGTTTAACATTGTTCAAAAGTAATATTGTATACGTGTTGTAGTATAAGGCCTACTATTGTAGATTTTGCTAGAAATTCTTGCGGTATTTTGCGGTTTTACCTTAAAATAAATTTTTATTATAGTTCGGAAAAAAATTATAATTCTGCTATGTGCTGTTTGTTTGAGGAGCGCATTTGCAGTTAGAAAATAAACATAAAAGGACACTTTTTCACCATTAAATTGATAATATAAGGTGTCCACAAAAAAGTTTCTAAAAGAATTACAATTTATTTTCTGAAACACTAATTAATTTTAGTATGAGATGTTAGCGTTCTAAAGTTAATAATTTTCTAGAAAGAAATTAAAAAATTGAGTTGACACACTTTGTTATTGTGTCAATTCAATTTAATTGCAAGATCTTTTTCTTGAAAATTATTAACCATAAGTCTTATACAGGGATGGTCCGTTACTAATGGGACACAGAGCAACAGTGAATTCCTTACATTAAATCATTACGATTTAACCCAATTTATCTTATTGTTAGTCCACTTGCTAATAATAACGAAGATACAGATGGGTAAAGTTTATACTTTATTTCCGTTTTTCTTTAATAATTTTCACTGTCAATTAGCATTAATACTCTAGTATTAATGCCAATTGACAGTGTTAGTTTAGTGTTTGACCAAATAAAATCATTTTTAACGCCAACTAATGTTTACTGAGCATATTTAAATTTTGCAAAGTGCCCTTAAACAGTGATTATCTTGGAAACGGAGAACTTTAGAGAAGATTGGTAGGTATATCAAATTTATGTAAAAATCTCTGAGAAACTGTTTTATGCCACCTTTGAAATAAAAAAAAAAATCGATTTTTTTTTTGCTTAAAAGTATTCTTTATACTGTTTAGAATGAGAATCCATTGACAGAAAACATTTGCGGAATGTTTTTCTGCCTAAAAAATTGATTTTTGTAACACACCTCACCGGAAATTCTAAGATTTCTGTAACCACTTTTTGTTTCTTTTTTTATCCATTGTATATGCAGGTATTTTGACCTTGTTGTACAAAAAAGTTAAAAAAATTAAACTAAAATTAGAACTAAAACTAGAACTAACACTATAAACTTTCGGGTTTTGCCGTGCGTCTTTTAAGAAAAGGTTTGACGTTTCGGATGCCATGTTGCAACCTTCTTCAGAAACTGGTTCGAAGTGATGTGGTTCACCTTTTCTTAAAAGACGCACGGCAAAACCCGAAAGTTTCTAGTGTTAGTTCTAGTTTTAATTCTAATTTTAGTTTAATTCACACCGGCCGTGAAAGCCTTCGTACTTATAAGTTACACTTCCATTTTTCCTTCAATAGCGTTTCAAAAACGCTATTGAAGAAAAATTTAAATTGCCTATTCGTAGTGGCAAGAAAGTGGTTGACATTGCGTCTGATATAGCTGCTTGCAATTTTAATGACGGTCTTACNAAATCGATTTTTTTTTTGCTTAAAAGTATTCTTTATACTGTTTAGAATGAGAATCCATTGACAGAAAACATTTGCGGAATGTTTTTCTGCCTAAAAAATTGATTTTTGTAACACACCTCACCGGAAATTCTAAGATTTCTGTAACCACTTTTTGTTTCTTTTTTTATCCATTGTATATGCAGGTATTTTGACCTTGTTGTACAAAAAAGTTAAAAAAATTAAACTAAAATTAGAACTAAAACTAGAACTAACACTATAAACTTTCGGGTTTTGCCGTGCGTCTTTTAAGAAAAGGTTTGACGTTTCGGATGCCATGTTGCAACCTTCTTCAGAAACTGGTTCGAAGTGATGTGGTTCACCTTTTCTTAAAAGACGCACGGCAAAACCCGAAAGTTTCTAGTGTTAGTTCTAGTTTTAATTCTAATTTTAGTTTAATTCACACCGGCCGTGAAAGCCTTCGTACTTATAAGTTACACTTCCATTTTTCCTTCAATAGCGTTTCAAAAACGCTATTGAAGAAAAATTTAAATTGCCTATTCGTAGTGGCAAGAAAGTGGTTGACATTGCGTCTGATATAGCTGCTTGCAATTTTAATGACGGTCTTACAAGTATTATGAAACGGATTTAAATCGCATTGCTCGCGCTAAGCGCTCCATGACTCATGAGGCTAAAGAAGCTCGTAGAAGCCTACTGTCAGACAGAAAAGCTGCAGAAGATGAAAATAAGCTTCAAGAAGGATAGCTGTATGGTGCAGGAATCGCTGATTAGATGTACATTTTTCAAATCTGTGCACACGATAACTTCCACATTTTTCAACGGATTTTCAAGATTTTTTTTTCAAAGGTTTGTATTATCTTATTCTAGGTAAGTACGTAGCCGTTTTTCGATATGTCTCAGATTCTCTTTTTTACAACCATTTTTATGTACGTTTTTTATCGATAAATACGACATTTCTTGTAAAATCGTCACCATTTCGTCAAAAATGAATATTTTTTAAAAATCCTACATAGTTCCCTAGTTTTTGAGTTTACTAAAGTAATCGTATTCAAGTTTTAATTATTCGACAAACGCGTTAGGAGAAATCCTATGCACAGTATGACACTGCACGATTTGCAAGCCTAATAACATAAGTAGCAATTAAGTAGCAATAGCAATTTTAATAACTGTTAATAAATAAAATATGTATTTAAAACTAGAAAAGTGGCTTATTCACACCCTGCAACCCGTTTTTAGAAAATTTTTTTCGTCTGATTGAAAAAAATTTTTAAAAATACCTATTCTTTTCGTGTCTTCAAGGTGGCATATCCCCTTAAGTTGTGTGAGTTGCAAAAATTTTAACGATGAAAAAGATGTCTACTTGAAAGGGGTTTTTTTAAGGCAGGCAGCGCCATCTGAAAGATAGATCAAAACTAATAACAAATTATTATTTATCGTCTTAAAAAATGGTAATGTACCAATTTTCATGGTCATAATGCAAGAGAAAACGAAATTATTAAAGAAAAGCGAAAATAAAGTATTAACTTTAATCATCTGTATGTCGTTATTATTAAAAATTGGACTAACATAAATTGGGTTAAATCGTAACAACTTAATGTAAGGAATTCACTGTTCTTCTGTGTCCCTTAGTAACGGACCACGCTGTATATAAAATATAGGTAGATACAATTAAGTAAAATCGCAGTATATCATAAAATACTTCATCCTTGTTAATTGTATAGATATTTTTTAATTTCCACCAATTTTGAAGTAAA